AATTCTTAATGTAACTACACTATAATATAAAATTTGCAATGTTTTGATATGCCAAACAATTGTCTCAAAACACTGGCAATAGCTGTTGTGGCATTGCTTGCCTCTTTGTATTTTATGTGCATGATGAAATAAAGAATTTGCTCAAAACGTTGCTCAAAAAATCAAAAAGTATTTAATGGATAGTGTAAACAAAAAATATTAAAGGTAATCAATTAGTGCATCACTTCACATGAAAATTCATCTATATACACAAATATTTCATTGGTTGGAAAAACCTGAATTCATATTATATACACTATTTACTATACAAGTAGAGTTCATATTCTGTGCATCATATATATAGATCAAAAAACAACAATAGTTTATCCGAAAGACTTGATTATGAAAAATGATGTACAAAAATCAGAACAAATCCATCGAAAAATCATAGTTCATCAAACCTGGATCCTGGGCATATTATGGATCAGAGTTAAGTGAAATATGCTTCTGATACATCCTACCATACTCCTCATTATAAGGAATGTAGTTAGTCCTGCCTAAAATGGTAGCAGAGTCCCTGAAAAAGGCCAAAAAATACTTAAATACTGCAGGAAACAAAAACGTGGAAAAAATTTGCAAAAAAGAGTCTCTATATGTAAGTTCTTCTGAGTACTCAAAAAGAAAATAAAGAAAAAAAAATGTAAAAAAGATTGGTAGTATCTCACCAAATACAGTTGAAGCACGGTATTTGAATGTTGCAGTAGCAGGTAGTGTGTGTCATAAAGACCATTCACTTCAACAAGCTCATAAGGGATCCAGTAGATTCCTCAATCGGGTGGACGTCAGTAATACCTCTATGTATGTTGTATGCAGATTTGCTCCAGGTCCAGTTCACCGGGGGGCTGCGCGCTTGGGATCATCCTCCCTTCCAAGGCCCTGGCGGTGTATGAGAAGATTGGGCTTTTTAAAGTTAGTACGCGGGGTGCGCCTGCCATTTACAGCAAGGCACGCCTTTCGCATGGCCGTACACGTCATTACGTCATTACTTCACTATTGGTGACATGGTGTATCAATGCAATCAACTTTATTAACAAAACTGGATTCCAACACTTTATATGGAGAGAGGGAACTTATAAAGGGAACTTGATGCAATAAGAGACTATGAATGCCAATTGGTTATGTGGAATAAATTAAACTGCTATATAAAAAACAGTAGAAAAAGAAAAAATAGAAACTAATAAAAGCACAATAAACAATCAAAAATAAGAAATAAAAAGTGAGAAATAAACAGTAAAAAAAATGAAAATAGGGAGAGGTTCCAACTGTAGTGGATCAACATCACAGTCATGCCTTAATGAACTAGTAGAAGTACTCACCAGCAGTGTTGTGTATGAAACACCCACGAGACCCATGTGGTAACCTGGATACGAAGCAGGTATTGGACCAAAATCTGGTCAATCTGATATAAGTGGTAGAAGGAGCGTATATAAGAAACCGGCCCATAGGTACCCAGAAAGGAGAAGGATGAAGGGAATACAAATATATAAATTTGGATGAGTATCCTTGCATACACTGATGATCACCAAGATAAACTAAAGTGGAAAGTCAATCTTAAGTCATTCCCCTAATTATGCGAGATTTGAAGCAGTGCCTCATAAATAGTGTTTTAAGTTGTGATCCTCATTGAGTCCCAAAGGATGCAATGTTTCTAAAGTGCTAATTCACTTGGTCTCCTTCTGTAGAAATAGACGTTGACTATCACCTCCCCTCCGTAATGGAGGGACACCATCTATAACCTGAAAACATAACTGATTGACACTATGTCCATGTTGTCTAAAGTGTCTCAGTACTGGTGCTTCACAAGTACTGCCTGATAGGGCTGCTCTGATACCTCTTTAATGCTCCCCAATATGCTCCTCCGGTCTTATAGTTTCTCCCACATAGATTAAACCACACGGCACTTCAATAAATATACCACATGGCCTAAAATTCATGTATAATAGTCATTAATCAGGTATTTCCTACCGGAGCGTGGATGAAGAAAATTCTCCTCTTTAATTACACTATTACAGTGCATAAATCCTAAACAATGTATATAAAGATGGTTTGTGAACCTTTTAATCAATTGATCCCAGTGTGGAACCTAATATATTCATCCTAAGACAGATGCAACAGATAATGGACAAGGTCAAGAATACTTACCATCTCTACACACTCACAACTCATCAGTTTTCTGTGAATGCCATCTTCTACAACAGGGTGCCCAAAAGGTAGACCCACAGTTGTTTTAAAACAACTTCCATGATGCCTTGTCATTCGAAAGGCATGCAAAGACACAGAAAGCATAATGGGAGTTATAGTTCTACAACATCTGGGGATCTACCTTTTGGGCACCACTGTTCTACAGATTTTGTAAGGTGGGCCCTGTTAGCATATCTGGACCCCTCAAGATGCCATTGGAATAATTTGATGGAATGGGATGATACTATTGGAAATGGAGAGAGACGAGGGAGAATGGAATACATGCATTGCGAAAGATGCAAAAGAAAGAATGGTCTACCACTGGCATTAATGGGATGGAAAAACGTGACTACTTACAATAGGGAGGAGAGGAGAAAGGATTACTACTACAGTTCAGAGAGATCAACTAGATAAGAATTACAGTAATCCATGCGAGAGATTACTAGAGCATGAATAAGCTCCTTAGCAGCATCTTGTGTAAGAAAGGGGCAGATGCAGGCAATGTTTTAAGGTGGAATTGGCAGGGTTTAGCAACATACTGGAAATGAGGTGCAAAGGTGAGGCCAGGATCAAAGATAATACAAAGACAACGATCTTGCAAGGATGGACTGATGCAAGTACAATCAATTTGCAGGGAAACTGAATGAGGGGGATCAGCATTATAAGGAGGAAAAATAAATAGCTTCTGTTTTAGAGAGGTTGAGTTTCAGAAAGCAGGAGGACATCCAAGCAGAGTTTGAAGAAATGCAAGCGGTGACACGTTGTAGGAAAGTGGGGAAGAGGTCAGGGGAGGAGAGATATATCTGGCTATCATCAGCATAGGTGGTAGTGGATTCCAAAGGAATTAATGAGTTTGCAGAGAGAGACAGTATAAAGAGAGAACAGAAGTGGACTAAGAACAGATCCTTGGGGGACTCCAACCAAGTCCGGACAAGATCACAGAGACTAAGGGATTGAAGAGTTTTGAGAAAAAGGGCATCATCAACGGTGTCAAAAGTGGTAGAGAGGTCAAGAAAAATTTGTATGGAGTAGTGACCTTTTGATTTAGATGCGATTAGGTCATTTGTGACTTCAGTCAGAGCAGTCTCAGTAGAATGGAAGGGGTGAAAGCCAGATTGAAGAGGATTGAGGAAAGAGTTGCAATTGAGGAAGTGAGCCAAACGAGTAAAGACAAGTCTTGCTAGAAGCTTTGAGGAAAAAGGGAGCAGGGATATGGCATAATAGTTGGAAGGGGAAGGCAGTCAAGGGATGCTTTTTTTTACAATGCGTATTTTTTAGGAGTAGTAAGTTTAAGGGGAATAGAAACAATTTTGTGGGGGGTTTTTTTGTTTTTACTTTCACCCTTTTCAAAAAAAATTATTTCTCCTCACTGTTTTGATTTATTTTAATATTTTGTAACTTTTTCCCCTTTTCATATATATATATATATATATATATATATATTTTTTTTTTCTCTTTGGATATATTTAAACTTTGTTCCTTTTTTTTTTTTTCTTCTATATTTTCACCTTGCTGGTATTATTTAAAACATTTTCCCTCCCTTTTTTTTTAAAATTTTTTTCCCCCCTCTCTTGTTGTTTCTATTCCCCTCCTTGTGGGTGCTGCTGCTGCTGCTGAGCTAATTAGGGGGAGTGCCCCTTAATTTCCACCTGTGTGGGATTTGTATTGCAAATATAAACCCACTACTGACTCACAGAGCTTGCTCACTGGAGTTTGCTTGAAAGTAGGCTATTTAAAGTAGTCTCTTTTAAGTAGGAGTTAAAACAACAGGAGTAGAAACTACAAGGGAGTTTAAACCAAGAGGGTTAGTATTGTTTTTGATCTCTTGTGTTTTTTGTTACTGGGGATGAGTGCTAGCAAGATTGTAAATTTAACTCAGTGCACATCATGCCGCATGTATGCATGCCTGGATGATTCTGTCCAGGGTCCATACCTCTGTGGTGGGTGTGAGCGAGTGGCATTTCTAGAAGCTCAGATTAGAGATCTGGAGAGGCAAATTGTAACACTGAGGGAGATTGACAATCTTGAGAGGAGTCTGCTGCTCACTGAGCAGAGTTTAGTGGGGACAGGTAGTGGAGAGGGAGGAGATAAGACAGACGGGGAACAGGCACGTAGCTGGGTGACAGTGGGGCGAGGAAGCAGGGGGGCAGGGAAGAGAAAAGGTTTAGCTAGTCCTGATCTCATGCAGCCTAACAGATTTGCCCGTTTGAGTGAAGATGTTGGGAGCATCAGCTCAGGAGTAGCTGTACTGCAGGAAGCTGTTCCTGCTAACAGCCGTGGAAACAGCACCTCTAGTACGGGTGGGGTTGAGAGGGTAAGGAAGTCTAGACAGGTTGTGGGGGTAGGGGACTGTAACGGATCACCTGGCACCCCGACTGGGTACCTCCGTTAAAGGATGCTCCTAGCGCTTCCTGAGGACTCCAAGCACTGCAGCAGACACCACAACCACCGAACCGGAGAAGCATATGAATCCTCTCAAGCATATGAATGCTGTAGACAGTTGAATAGGAACCATACGAATAGGTTTACTCTCCTAGCAGTCAAACTGGAACAGCATACAATAAATCCTTCCCCCAATAATGAGACGACACTTCACTTTGAGGGTTAAGCAGGAACTCCCTGTACTGTCACATACAGTCTCTTTTATTCCCAATCCACAAACATAGTACAGCCCACAGGGCGTTACAAAACAACCAATCAATCCGTACAATACACCCAGACACTCCCACACAAAATCCTCCCCTCTGCATGTGATATGATTACTGAACACAATGGGTAATCTCATTATCACCGGCAGAGGAATACAGTTTTTACACAACATTTATAACTTCTAAAATATACATGTCACAAACATAAAACATACATTTTCATAATCAATCCATTCAGGGGAACAACATATTAAAAAATGGCACGAATCAGACCAGGGGTTCAAAAGTTAAGGGAAAGTCCTTTGTGACTAAATGAAGCATGGCTTCCCGGCCCAAACCAGTTTCAGAGTCTTCTATCCTGGAGATAATTGAGAGTAATTCAATTATCTCCCAGGACAGACACAAGACTCCATTAAGCACATGGTTGCAAAAAGACACAAAACACTTTAAAATACATAAAGGCACCTTTTACCCATAAGACACAGACATTTCACATATCCCCAGATAGCTGGGATCTGAGCGCACAAAACTACTGAATAGCGCTCAGATCCTATTCACACAGTTCAATTGCCATGGAGCCGAAGTCTTTAACTACACGAATGGGCTCCATGGCATAGCTATCTGGGTTAAAACATTCACATAAAGTCTGGTCCATAGTCCAAAGGCAAGAGGCGGGCAAGCAGCCCCCTCCAAGGACACGTGGCGCGGTCGGTTTCGCCACAGGGACTCTATTATTAAGAGAGTAGATAGGGTAATCTGCCACTCTGATCGACTCAACCGGACAGTTTGCTGTCTCCCGGGTGCTCGGGTCCGGCATGTTGCCGACAGAGTGGAGGGATTATTGGGAGGGGCTGATGATGACCCAGCTGTCATGGTCCATATTGGTACCAATGACAAAGTCAGAGGAAAATGGAAGGTCCTAAAGAATGAGTTCAGGGAACTAGGAAGTAAGCTTAAGAAAAGGACCTCCAAGGTAATTTTTTCAGAAATATTACCTGTGCCACGCGCTACAGCAGAAAGGCAGCGGGAGATTAGAGAGGTCAATGAGTGGCTAAAGTCTTGGTGCAGGAAAGAGGGTTTTGGGTTTTTAGAGCACTGGGCCGATTTTGCGCTTGGGTACAACCTGTATAGTCATGATGGATTGCACCTAAACGGAAGAGGGTCTGCTGTGCTGGGGGATAGGATGTCTAGAAGGTTGGAGGAGATTTTAAACTAGTGGTAGGGGGGAGGGTCAAAGCAATCTAGAAAATGGAGATAGGATGGAAAGGAGATGGGCTTTAGCTCAGAACAAAGGGGGTGGAGATGGGGGAGGGGAAAGCTCAGAACAGAGGAGGTATGTAATATTGATAATTCACAAAAAGTACAAAAGACTCATGATAATATTAAATGTATGCTTACTAATGCAAGGAGCCTATATAACAAAATGGGGGAACTAGAGGCAATAGCATACAATAAACAATATGATATAATAGGCATAACAGAAACATGGTGGGATGAGACATGACTGGGCAGTTAATTTAAATGGGTACACGTTATTTAGGAAAGATAGGAAAAACAAGAAGGGTGGTGGGGTATGTTTATATGTCAACCATGGGTTAAAGTCAAATCTTAGGCATGTGGAGTGTGACGAGGAAAAGGTGGAGGCTTTATGGGTAGATATCTGCTTGGGAAATCAATTATTGGTTGGGATATGTTATAAACCACCTAATGTAAATATTAATGAGGAAGAACAGCTGTTAGAGCAAATTGAGAAAGCTGCAAATCGAGGTAACACGTTAATTATTGGAGATTTTAATTATCCAGACATAAATTGGGAAAGAGGGACTAGTACTTCAGCAAGGGGAATCAGGTTTTTGAATGTGTTAAATGACACCTTTATGTCACAACTGGTACAAGCACCAACTAGAAAGGATGCTTGTCTGGATCTTGTCATAACAAACAATGTTGATCTTTTAACCAACATTCAAGTAGGGGAGCATTTGGGAAATAGTGATCACAATATGGTAAATTTTGAAATAAACTCAAAAAAGCAAAAGCAGGTGGGGTATACTAAAACATATAATTTAAAAAAAGCCAATTTCAATAAGATTAGGGCAGCTCTACAACATATCGACTGGCATAAACTCCTTAGTGATAAAAACACTGAGGATAAATGGAAACTATTCAAACATATATTAGAAAGGTACATTTCTCAGTACGTACCATTGGGTAATAAATATAAAAGAAACAAATTAAAACCAATGTGGCTTAGTAGAGAAGTAAAACAAGAGATTAAAAATAAGAAAAGGGCATTTAAAGCATTTAAATCAGACAAATCAAAGGCATCCTATTTAAGATATAAGGAAGCCAATAACACTTGCAAAAAGGCAATTAAAGTGGCTAAACTAGAAAATGAGAAATTGATAGCTAAAGAATGCAAAACCAACCCCAAAATTTTTTTCAAGTACATCAATTCTAAAAAAACAAAAAATGAAAATGTAGGTACACTTGAAACAGAGTTGGGTTTATTAGCTAATGAAGACCAGGAAAAAGCAGAAATTTTAAATAACTATTTTTCTTCAGTATATATTAATGAGGATCCTATGGCAAGAGATATGCAAATGTTTGCTGCAAAAAACTTGCAAATAACTTGTGATTGGATAACTCGAGACAAGGTGCTACAGCTATTAAAGAAAATTAATGTAAATAAAGCTCCGGGGCCTGACGGTATTCACCCACGAGTACTTAAGGAGCTAAGTGGGGAAATAAGTGAACCTCTGTATTTAATTTTTCAAGATTCTTTTGTTTCAGGTGTTGTACCGGAGGATTGGAGGAAGGCAGATGTTGTTCCTATATTTAAAAAGGGTTCAAAATCCTTGCCTGGAAATTATAGACCTGTGAGCTTAACTTCTGTAACTGGGAAAATATTTGAAGGGCTATTAAGGGATAATATTCAGGAATTCATTGGGAAGAACTTTGTTATTAGCAATAATCAGCATGGTTTTATGAAACATAGGTCATGTCAAACTAACCTAATTGCATTCTACGAAGAAGTAAGTAGAAGTATAGATTAGGGTGTTGCAGTGGATGTGATCTACTTGGACTTTGCCAAGGCATTTGATACGGTTCCTCACAATAGGTTAGTCTTCAAACTAAAAGAAATTGGTCTAGATGAATATTCCTGTTCTTGGGTAGAACATTGGCTTAAGGACAGAGTACAACGAGTTGTAATTAATGGTAAATTTTCAGGCTGGACAAAAGTGGTAAGTGGTGTCCCTCAGGGTTCTGTTTTGGGACCACTTCTATTTAACATATTTATAAATGATCTTGAAATAGGCATTGAAAGCCATGTATTAGTGTTTGCAGATGACACAAAACTTTGTAAAGTAATAAAATGTGAGCAGGATATTGCTTTGCTGCAGAGAGATTTGGATAGATTGGGGGACTGGGCACTAAAATGGCAGATGAAATTTAACATAGAGAAATGCAAAGTTATGCACTTCGGGGTTAAGAATGCACAAGCAACTTACACACTAAATGGTAGTGAATTAGGGATAACCACACACGAGAAGGATTTGGGAATTGTTATAGACAACAAATTAGGCAGCAATATGCAATGTCAATCTGCAGTTGCTAAGGCCAGTAAGATTTTGTCATGTATAAATAGGGGCATAAATTCTCAGGATGAAAATATAATTTTGCCTCTTTATAAATCGCTGGTAAGACCACACCTTGAATATGCTGTGCAATTTTGGGCGCCTGTTCTAAAGAAGGATATCATGGCACTGGAGAGGGTCCAGAGACGAGCTACAAAATTGATAAAAGGAATGGAGCATTTTAGTTATGAAGAAAGGTTAAAAAAAATTAAATCTGTTTAGTTTGGAAAAACGGCGCATTAGAGGGGATATGATAATTTATACAAATATATTCGGGGATTAATGTCAAATCTGTGCATGTTTCTATGCACAGAATGTCATTTGTTGGCTGAGAGTGATCAGCTGATGCTCCTCGACCAATGAATGTTTCTGCAGCGAATGGGACCCAGGTAAAAGGACAAACCATTGTAAAACAGTTTATTGCATTAGCAAGAACAGTGCCTATGTACTATATTGGTTATGAAGCTTGCTGTAACTCTTTAAAGGTGATATAAATGTGATGTAAATGAACCACCCTTACAGACTTGAATCATCCAAATAATTGTCATTTTTATGGGACTGACCACTGAAATAATTAATGCAATAGTACCATCTAGTGGTGAAATAAAGTGTTTGTCATATCAGTACTATAAAAAGAGTAAAATGACTTTGTAACATGAGCAATACAGCTGAATTTCTAAGTTGCAATCGATATGCCTCATGTGATCTATGATTTATGTTATCCAGTCTTGACCACGGAATTGCTTTATGGATAATTATTAAATATTTATGGGTTGCTTCAGTCGTTTAATTTTTGGAAAGTATTATGAAGTCCCACTATCTGAAGTATTTAGTGACCAGAGGGTGAGGGGGCAATTATTATTGGCAAATGGACGCAAAGAGGGAAATGTGATGGTAATACTACTGGCAATGGGAAGAGAACGGGGAAAATGGGATACTGGAAGTAAAGAGGGGAATGGGACAGTAATATTACTGGCAAAGGGAAGTAAAGAGGGGAATGGGACAGTAATATTACTGGCAAAGGGAAGTAAAGAGGGGGATGGGACAGTAATATTACTGGCAAAGGGAAGTAAAGAGGGGAATGGGACAGTAATATTACTGCAAAGGGAAGTAAAGAGGGGAATGGGACAGTAATATTACTGCAAAGGGAAGTAAAGAGGGGAATGGGACAGTAATATTACTGCAAAGGGAAGTAAAGAGGGGAATGGGACAGTAATATTACTGCAAAGGGAAGTAAAGAGGAGAATGGGACAGTAATATTACTGGCAAAGGGAAGTAAAGAGGGGAATGGGACAGTAATATTACTGCAAA